TAAAGAGATGAATACATTTGATATTATTAATGGTCTTTAAAGAGCTCAACACGTATTCAGAGGACTGACAAGGTGAAGGGTAAAATCCTCACTCAGGTAATAGATTAATTTATTTTACCAGATTCAGGGGATTACACAACAAATGTACTGCTCAGGACACTTCTCATTATACCTAATTTTGGGCTCTCTGCACTGGAATCAACATTTGTATTTCAGGGGCACTATTTGTAATAAAGAGAAAAACAGAACACAGAAGCCCCATCTCCAAATCAAGGAAAATTCCATTTTCCTTGATCCATTATCCTTGAACCATTTCATGATTCATCTTCAGCCACCTCAAAACTGGACACCTAGTGGGATCAACAAGGAGCTGGGGCAGGTTCAGAGTGAATATTAAAAATATCTTTATTCTAAAGAAAAATATTCTTTATTTTAGGGTGGGTGGGTCCTGGCACAGCTGCCCCATCCCTGGGACAGTGGGAGGTGTCCCCACCCATGGCAGAGAGTGGGATGGGCTAAAATCCAACCCAGAAATCCCAAATGTGGCATCCCAGCCCTCAACACCCCAGCCAAGCACCCAAGAGACACACACAGTTGCCAAGTAGCAGCAGCAGATTTTTGCCAGCATGGAGAAATCCATCACATTTCCAATGATAATTACTACAAATGAACCAACGTGCTTGTAATTCCACCCACAACAGCGAGTCCACAGCCTCCCATAAAACTCCACAGTTTTATAGGCTCTGAGAGGAAAGCAGAATAAAAATCTTCCTTCCTTATTCTGCAATCATCTGAAATCTTACGTCCACAAACCGATTTTCAAGACGGTGGTGGTCCAATTTTAGACAGAAAAAAAACTATAATGAATGCAAGCTTAAGCCAATTATGCTAAGTGTTACTTAAGTTCCAAAACTATCACCTAAACTGCAATTTAAAACCAAATTAGAAAGAAATAATTCACATTCCTCCCCTCCAACAACATTTACATGACAATGAATTTCTTCTTGGGTAATAAGCAGTTAGTTAGTGTTCATATGCTGGAGCCTGGCAAGGAAACCTTTCTTGTGGGCAGCTTTGGAGCCTGTTCTTTTCTTTAAGATGTTCTAATTTAAATGCAGATGTAGACTTCACACTAGTGGGTTTTGTTAAAAAAAAAAAAAAAAAAGTGCTGCTGTATTAGAAGGAAGTGACAGAAAGAGGACTCAAACACAGCATTTTGAGTTCCACATTTTGCACTATCTCATTTTCCCTGGGCAGGAATGTGTGCAAGAGGTCTCAAAGATGAGATTAGAGCACCAACCCCCCTCCTCCCAGAGGGTTTTCTGGTTCAGGGTTTAACACAAGTGTTTTCCAACTTTTTCATCTTTAAATTCCAACCTTTTTTTTTTTTTTTTTTTTTCTTTTTCTCCAAGTCATTCTTCATGCACTTCCTTCCCCTTCAGAGATATGCATGGTCATTTCCAGGAGACATTAAACACTGGTAGCTTTTTCCTGTGTAAATTTGTGAGTCTTAACATTGGAGCTGGAGAAGAATATTAAATCCTGCTGAGCCAGCATCCCCTAAGCTGTTGTCAGAAGAACAATTAAACATGGACCAGCTTCCCAAAGCTTTTTTTCACCTCCATGCTCTATGGAAAAAGTTGATTGTATTCCTGCTTAACCTCGTTTTCTCTACAGATATATTTATTTTTAAACTAGCTTTGTTAACAGTTTGTTTCCCACAGTTGAACTAGAAAAATAACTTGTGCTATTTCCTTAAACATCCAGTCCACATCCTGAAAAATTATTTCTCTTCACTCACCCTGCAGCTTCCATAGCTGTCTTCTAATGTGGAAACATTTGCAGTGCTCTGATTTTATTTAGAAAATAACCTCTCTGAATTTTCCCTCGTTATAGACTGGTTTAACATAATTAGTAAATTTGATTCTTTGCTGAAAAATGGACTCTTCAGCCTAATTATTCCTTACCCAAGGAACAGACCATTCCTCTACCTGTCTCCTGACCAACAAGCTATTTGTCACTCCTGCCATGTCAGGTATAATCTATTTACACAACTGCAAAACCACTGCTGCAAGAAGTAATTTATGTAGTGTGGAAAGCTGACAAATTGCAGCTCTTCTGTGCAAGCAAGAGGGCCGAGAAGTAAAAGCTTCCTGCAATGGAAACAGAAAAAAAAATAGTCCAGCAAAACCACCAAGCCTCTAAATGAAACTGAAATCGAGACCTGAGGCAGGTTCAGCATGTTCAGAACAAGAATGGCACTGTCAAGCAATGCAACCATCACATTGCAGGGAAAATTCATCTTATTTTTGTTGTTAAAAAGGAAACTCAAGAAGTTCACAATAGACAAGTCATGCATTTACCCCTGGACCTATGAAGAAAAGGAAGCAGCACCTCTGGAAATGTGCTCAGCCTCAAGAATTCCTAATTACTGCACACAGCCAACAAATCATTGGATCATTTGTCTTTACCTTATTACAAGCATACAACAAATATCCAAAATTCTTAACTGTAGAAACACTACTTGATCCAAGCCTGCAGATGTTACTTTTAGCTATCAAAACTCAGATAAGCAACACGTTATCTCTAATAAAAACCACAAAGTCACCAAGTTGCATCTGATCTACTTTAAATTCAGTTTTAAACTTACTGCTCGTACCTATCAGTCAGGAAATGCAGACAGAGCTTTAAAAGCACCCTCAGCAGCATGAATTTTTAAACAGACATGGAAGTGAGCTAAAGCAGAATTTAAATAGCATCTTGAAAGCTCTCTGAACAAAACAAGTGAGCTCTCGTCACAAAAATCACAGCGTGAGTTTAAGGCAGGAGAGGTACAAGCATGGTTAATTTATATATTTATAGTCTGAACCACTGTACACCAAAACCACAGAGACCTCCCCCAAATGTCTGAGGGGAAATACACAAAGAGCAAGTTGGAAATAAGAGGGATTGAAGGGTGATGCTCAAGTGATCAGGGCAGTTCTGATCCTCCTTCAGTCATTTTTCATGACTGGGCTGTAGGAGCAAACTGCAGCTTTCACAGTGCTTCTGCAAATGTCAAAATTGTGCCTTTTGCTCTACACCAGGAGCCATTTGGGGGAGAAAATAAGGTCATACACAACAGGAAGCAAAATGAATGCAAAGTCTGCAAGAGAGGAGGAAAAAAGCTTCAAGAACAACAGGGACAAAAAAGTGAGAAAAGCCAAAACAACACATTTATTAAACTTTTAAAGTCCTGTTCTCCAAACACTGCAGACTAATGGCCACAAACCTGCATGAGATCAAGAGCAATCTAGATTATATATACATATATATGTATACACACACACACACACTGCCATGAGTTGCCATGAGTACATTCCCAGTGAATACCAGATTCAGAGATTCAGGTTCTACTTGTTTGCTTTACAGACTGCTGACCACCTTCCAGAAAGCTTCTCCCACACTTGGAGTATTTGAATTTATTGATGTATTAATAAATTATTATTAATTTAGAATTTATTAATTCTTACTAAAAAATTTTCGTATTTTTCTTCAGCTCCTAGCAAGGTGAGAAAATTTCAGTTTCTTCACCTTAGATTAGTACACATATTTAATATCTCTGGGTGCATTTATAACAGAAATTAATTAAATTTAATTAGCAAATAGCACTGAAGTATTGGGTTCCAAGAGCTCCCACAACCATGGAATCTGGCACTGACAGTGCAGCATTTAACAGAATCCCCAAAACCAAAATCCTCATTCTTTGTGTAGGTATCTCTTGAACTGGTACACAAATCACATGCACTGGCTGCTCTGCTCTTGTCCTTTTTTGTGACAAATTAAAGAATTGAAAATGTTCCCAAGCTCAGCAGAGGGAAAGGGCTCTCTGGTGTTCTCCTTTAGGAGCAAACAGTCACTGCTGCTTCCTGGGCTGTGCAGAAGAAGAGGAAGATGCCATGAGAGCGGCCAGGATGTGATGCTGTTTTAATGCTTGTGTTTAACACAAGTCTCCCCACAGTTCCTTCCCTGCTAAAGCTGTTTATTCATAAATGGGACAATTAGCAATTCCCCCAGGATTGTGAGCACAGCAGCCTCTGCTGCAGCCCTGACACTCACATCCATCAGTCTGGATTTCCCCTGCTCCCTCTAGTCAATTAGCTGGATTACAAACCAACAGGATGATTAACCCCCTGGAATTACTTCTCTTTGCTCCTCCCTGAAAAACCATGGCACTGGAGGTGGGATTTTGGATTCATGACTGACACAGCCACCATTTACTCATCAGATGTTCCAGATTTATGACAGATCACAACATACACACAGTTAACAGCACTCCAGAAAGAAACTTCCATTTCTTAATCCATTCTTCAACACAGTCAGTAGCAATGGAAGCAGCACCAGCAATGCCTTCTGGAGCCACTGTCACAGCCTTGGTTGGAGCTCAATATCATAGAATATGCTACACAGAGTTCAATATTAAACCAGAAACATGTGCCAACACTCTTCCCCCCTCCAGTAATTCCAAGCTGTTGCCAAGCTGTTAACCACATTCTCCCCAGGGCAATTATGTTCAGCCACTGAGTGGTTTTCACATTTTTTCCACCTTCTTTTTTAAAAAAAATTCAACATCTACTTCAAAAACCTGAAATGTATGTTACAAATGTATGCCTTGTATATCTCTGCCTGTTAGACCTTGCACAAATGCATAAGATTCATCTTTTCCAGAGCTTTACTCTACTCTTAAATCACCTTGTCTTTCCTTTTCTTAAAGCTGGATGAGGAAACACCTTCTCAGGTACACTAAATTCACACTATTTTATTCAAGAGAGCCTGATACTCAGCCAAGTACAGTTTCTACCTCCACCTCTCCTTTTTTTAAGTGCTGTTCACCTTGAAGATGTCCCTTGACCTCAGCTATGCCTTTGTACAAAATGAAAGGCGAGCTGACAACTGATCTGCCTTAAACCCGACGAATTTAATTCCTCCAAGAAACACTTGAAACCGTTTCTCTCCGTTACCTAGGCTGGGAGTTCTCCTCGTACATCCTTTCCTTCCCTTCCTTGAAGAGGCTGATGGTCTGCTTGGTTTTCTTCATCAGGTTCTCCATGAAGACGCGGAAATACTCGTTCTCGCCCAGGGTCTCCATCTTGCCCTCGTAGCGGGACAGGATGGTGCGCAGGTGCTGGTAGGTGTCAGGCAGCAGGTCCAGGATGTAGGGAGGGCTGTTCTTCAGGGCCAGTTTGGGGTTTTGACACAGCCGTACCACCTGTGGGAATGGGGAAAGCAGCTCTGTGAAAAGTCCGGGAGAGGAGCACGGTCAGGGGTTAAACACAACTCACTGTCGCAAACACGACGCTCTGAAACGTGTGCTGAGACAAATCCCATTTGTTGGGCAAGGCCAGATGGAATCACAGGATCACTGAGGCTGGAAAAGACCTCTGAGATCAAGTCCAACCTGGTCCCCACCTCGCCAAACAGACCAGAGCACTGAGTGCCACGTCCAGGCATTCCTTGGATACCTCCACCACCTCCCTGGGCAGCCCCTTCCAAAGCCTGACCATCCTTTCCATGGAGAAATTCCTCCTGATGTCCCATCTGAACCTCCCTGGGCAGCCCCTTCCACAGCCTGACCATCCTTTCCATGGAGAAATTCCTCCTGATGTCCCATCTGAACCTCCCTGGGCAGCCCCTTCCACAGCCTGACCATCCTTTCCATGGAGAAATTCCTCCTGATGTCCCACCTGAACCTCCCTGGGCAGCCCCTTCCACAGCCTGACCATCCTTTCCGTGGAGAAATTCCTCCTGATGTCCCATCTGAACCTCCCTGGGCAGCCCCTTCCAAAGCCTGACCATCCTTTCCATGGAGAAATTCCTCCTGATGTCCCACCTGAACCTTCCCTGGTGCAGCTTGAGGTCCTTTCCTCTTGTCCTGTCACTGCCTGCCTGGGAGCAGAGCCCAACCCCAGCTCACTGTAACTTTCAGGGAGTTTTAGAGTGATCAGGCCTCCCTGAGCCTCCTTTTCTCCAGGCTATTTTCTCCAGCTAGCGAGCCCAGCCACCATAAAAGAATGCAGTTTCTGGGCTGAAGTGCATGTGGACTGATGAAACTCATGATAATAAATTTATGTGACAGGGGAGGGGAAAGGAAGCCACTTCACCATCCGCCATAGCCAAATGTTTCCATTATCTAAACTGAGAGAATTAAAGGGAGAGTTGATGGCAAAACAGCCATTTGAAAAATTTAGTGAAGTTTCAGCTCTAGAAAGGGCTGGAATTAGAGTTGTGAGGTCAGTTTTGGATCAAGTTTACTAGGTAAGAAGCAGCAGTCTGACACTTCTATATTCTGATTTCCAGCAAACCTGAGCACAAAATGTAGCTACACTTTCCTAAAGTTTTTCCCTATAATGAATATTATCTGGCTGCTAAACACCCAGCATATAAAAGAGGCTTAAACTCATGACACAGCCAGGCATGAGGGAATTACAGATATCAAACAGTGCAGAATGCAAAACTTAAATGAAGTGGATAAGAAAAAGCAAAAGGACTGTTTAACGTCCTTTTGCAGCACCTCATTTCCACAAAACTTTGTGAAACCTTCAAGAGGAATTGAGCAGTTCCCTACAGTGCAGGCTTAAATACCTACTTCCTTTACATATAGATGGTAAACAGAGTCATTCCCTCTGAAACAGTGCTTTAGCTTTTCACTTTGCCATTTAGGGTTTGTGCAAAAAGCAACCTTGTGAAGTGACACCTCCAATTTTATCTGACTTACAGCAGTGCCTGGACCAAGAGCTGACCTGAGAAAGGTTCGATTTCAGCCAAGAGAAAGGCACACAGTGGATCAAAACTCCAAGCAGAAAATCAGACTGCTGGAAAAAAAAACCAAATAAAATAAATAAAAATAAACACCTAAAAAAGCCTCTGCAAGAATACATGGGAAAAACAAACCACCAAAACTTTCCCTCCATTTTGAGGAGGCTGCCAAGGCCTTAAGATAAAGAGATGGATGGCCAGAGAGCTGATTTAGTCAACTGATGCTAATGCCTCAACTGCTGCTTCCTTGGAGCCTGTGAACATTGTACACTGAACCATATCAACAAATTGAGTCAACACATTTGTCCCCTGAAAAAAAAAAAAAGAGTTTCACTATGAGCATGAATAGGTTCTAAATATGCTCTTCAGACCCAGCTGAGCTGTGCTCTGGGCAGCAAAACCTTTTCTTCAGCAGAAATTGTTTATTATACAGTGGGTTTAAAACCCTAACAAACACAGTCAGCTCGGAGGAGGAAGCCACATGAAGCAAGCAGAGCCTGCACTTCCCTCAGCCAGCTGGAAATAGAGAACAATTTGGCTGTTACACTTTGAAAATACCCAGCTATGGGAGCAGCAGACCTGCATTTCAGACTTTGGTATCAATTAAAACAATTCCCCCAACAGGAGCAGAGAGTTCTGCAAACTGCCCATTCTCAGAGCCCCTGTAAAATGCTTCCCAAGAAGTAGATGCCTCAAACAGTTAACAGAAAGGTCAAAAGTGCTGGTATTTTTTATCAAATCAGCTTCTTTATTTACCAAGCAGACCAAAATTAGCTGAGATGAGCAGTTAAACAAAACTGCTGCCCCCTGAGCAAACTTGGTGCTTTTATAACACAGCGGCAACAAAAGCAGTGGCATTTTCTCCATTTCTCTACGTGTGCACTTGCAGCATCATGACAACATCCAAAGGAATGTTCCCAGCCCTGGGAACAGCTGCCCCTCAGCAGCCTTCCACAGGGACCAGAAACGTGGAAGGAAATTGAGCAAAAAAAGCAGAAAAATATTTTTTTTGTTTAGGTGTGATAGCAACGAACAGAAGCAATTCATGGTTTTAAATTATCATCCAAAAGTTTGTCTGGCTTATGTTATGTTCTCTGAGGAACAAACCATTTAGGGAGACATTTTTGGGTTTTCAGACATGCCAATAAAGCTCAGCATGAAGAGAGGTGGGCCTGTGAAGAACCTGAAAATTGACTTCATGCATTTCAATTTTCCAAATACAAGTCAAAAACCCCAAAAACCTCAGTTTCCCCTACTGAGTTTTGAGGAAAGAATCTGTTACATACTCATTCTAGGAAAAATAATCTCATCTAGATCTTAGAGGCCTGGAATTGAATCTTTCCCCTCAACAGTCTGCAGCTTGCTTTGACTAATTCTGGATTTAAGATTCCCAGGCCTGATGAGCATCCAGGGGCTACACCCAGGTATGATTTTCCCTCCCAGGGTAGTTCTGAAAACTCATTTTTTCCTTCTTTTAGCAGCTGAACAGCTAACTGCACTGAGATCACACCTCATTCCAGTGTAAGCCAACAGCAAAATAAAACCTACACAAACATCTCCTATCTCTTACTAGATTTGTGTTTGGCCTTTATCCTCACAAAGAAGGTGACCTGCAGTGGCACTTCTCTGCATCAATTCTAGGAACTGAATGGTATCAGGAAACCCTTTAGAGAAGCTTTATCTCAAAGCTGTTCTTCCTCCTCCGTGCCTTCCCACATTTATTCCACTCTGCTCCATCCCAAGCAGCTCATGACTAACCCACCTATTCCTCAAATACCACCCACAGCAGTGAACTCCAGGGGGCTGCATTTAATCTCTGTTCTGCAGAGAAATGCATAAATATCACCTCGTTCAGCTGAAGGGGAACATCCAACAGGGATGGAAAGGGCTATTTTATGTCCATGCTCTGTGTGACCACATATAGCTGTGGGAGGAAAGGCACTGACAAAAAAATTAGGGCTTCAAATGAAAGAATCTGAAAGACATAAATATGTCAGGCAGCTTATGGAGAGCATTACAGGGAAAATATTTGGACAAGAATCAACTTGCATAGGAAATTCATCAGTCACATCCGAAAGCAGAGATGCACGAATGCTTTGACAACACCAGCTAATTATGCAGACTAACAAATGAGGTCGTGAGTGTAGTGTACCCACACAGACACAGCACGCAGCTCTGAGAGGCAAAAACATCATCTATTAAACATGCACACAAGCAGGTTTTTTATCTGCACCTGGAATTTTATGTTCTTGGCCCAGATAACTAACCCGCTCTCAACACCTTCCATTCATTTAGCCCTTCTCAGCATCAGCTTCTCTGGGTTTTTGCTACACCACTAAAGAGATTTTAATTCAGATGTGTTCTCTGAGTGTGCGTAAGTACAGCTGAAATCTAACTGAAATCTGAAAGGCTTTTCAGAGCCAGAGCTCTCCTTTTGTAGAAATCAGACTGAACAAGACTTCAAGCCTGAGAGCTTCTGGATGCTGCCTATGAGTAAACCTGGAGTCAAAAGAGGTGGATGTAACTTGTGACAAATACAGCAGCAGCCTTGGCTTTTCTGCCAGGGGAGAGAGATCACATCCAACCTGCTATAAAGACCTAAAGCTGTGAAATTTCGCCCCCTAAAAAACATCCCACTGCATTTAAAATGCCGTAATAATCAGCTTTTTTTTTCAGGCTAGTCTTTTCCTTCTAGCAGAGCAGGTTATGAGGCCAAACACAAGTTGCCACTATATCTACATATTCCATAGATGAAGATGTGCATCCTTACAGGTTACACTTATTTAGGGTGCCTTTCCTACATTAGCACTTGTGCTTGGCCCTCAGACTCTGTAACAGAGCCAATGGCACTTCTCAAAAGGGTTTTTTTCCTCTGGCCCAGTCTCTGTAGGTGATCAAAGCTCATCACAGGCACAGCAAGGCACAACTATAAACCATGCCTTTTGTTGAGCCAGCCAACACAGAGTGATTTCTTGGCAGGAATAGAATTTAATACGCCTTTAAAGAAGTCATTTGCTCTGCCTGCTTTTAGCACTTACTGCAGGAGGTTCAGACACTGCATGGATAAACAATGCAGGGGAAAGAGAAGGAAAATGCATGAGCCTGAGGGGCAGTTGGATGAGGGATGCCCAAAGTCTCTGCCGGCTCTGCTCCCAGAGGGGAAGGAGGTGGCCAGGTGACAGTCCCCAAGGCCTGGGTGCAACTTGGGTGATGCTCTTACTCTACACTACTCAGTGTCATAAAATGCACTGCACATTTCAGACTGCAACGTGTCAAACCTAGCCTTGATTTCAGGGCTGAACAGTAATAATCAATGAAAATTCCATTAAAATGTCACATTTTTATTTTGTGCCTATTTCTGCGTGCCTGCTTTCACTCGCTTGATCATTCCCTGACAACTCCCCAGGATTTCTGAAACCACTGGACTGACCAGCACACCTAGCCAGGCCAGTAAATCAAATATCCCATCACACCAACAGGCCAAAAGGTCTGGTGTCCTGCCCCCGGCAAGAGCCATTTCCTGGCATTTGAAAAGGAGGAGGAGGAGGAGTGGAGAGTCTTAATGACCCCAGAGAGCCGTGCCCCTCCTAAAGGTGTGGGGCTGGAAGAAGGCCTTTCCAGCTCCCACACCACAAGTTTTTCTTGTTAAACATCACTTGATACTTTATCTTTCTGTAACTACATGTCTTATTGCAAAAGGGTTTATTCAGGCTTTTACAGTTTTTCCTCTTTTTTAAGGAAAAGGTGCAGCAACACATTCCTGTTCATTCCAAAAGGAATAACCTGACCTGCCACAAAGCTTCTCCATCCACTACCCACACAGCAGGCCCTGTTTGCTTCCAAAGAGCAAATCCTAGACTTCTCCCTTGTCCTGCTGCTGTCACCACCTGCAGCTCCCACCCCATTCCCAGCACCTACAGGACTGGCATTATCTGCACATGATTAATACAGATATCACAGAATATCCTGGCTTAGAAGGGACCCACCAAGATTATCCAGTGCAACTCCTGGCCTTGCACAGGACCCCCCAACAATCCCACCCTGTGCCTGAGGGTGTTGTCCAGATGCTGAGCTCTGGGGAAGCATCCCAGATCCTCTCAGGCGCTTCCAAATCCTCCATTCCAAACTCTCCTCTCTTCCGCCGCCTTGTTCTTTGCAGAGCTGCTGATGTCCCTTCATGCTTTCCCATCATCTCCTCCATCCTCACCTCTCCACAGGTTCCACATGGACTCACACAGTGCTTGGGGTTGGAAGGACCTTCAGTTCCATCTTGTCCCAGTCCCTGGCAGGGACACCTTCCACTGCTCCAAGCCTTGTCCAGCCTGGCCTTGGGCACTGCCAGGGATCCAGGGGCAGCCACAGCTCCTCTGGCACCCTGTGCCAGGTCTGCCCACCCTGCCAGGAAAAATTCCTACCCCATACCCCATCTAACCCCGCTTTCCAGCAGTGCAAAGCCATTCCCCCTTGTCCTGTCACTCCACGCTCATTACATCCTTCCCCCAAAGCGCTGCACCCCGTTCTGTGCCCCCACACCTCTCAGCCCCCCAAAATCCCCCCTGGAGCCACAGACCCCCTCTCCCAGCCGCCCCCATGCTCCAGCCTCATCCCAGATCCCCCCGATCCCGGAGCCCCACACCCCCCAGGCCAGCCCTATGCCACCCCAGGCATAGGGTTCCACCCCACCGCCCTCCCCACCTTATCCATGAGCTTCCAGCACTTCTCCACCATCTTCTTGTCCACGGCGCCGGGCTGGTGCGGCCCGAGGTGGTGGTGGTGAGGCTGGAACGCGTCCTTCATCAGCCCGATGAGCCCGCCGGGGCCCTTCTTCAGCGGTGCCGACATGGGGGCGCCCACACCCGGCCCGTGGGGCCCGTCCGGCACCGGGGCCGCGGCCCGGGAGGGGACCGGGCTGAGGGCGCTGCGGGCCGGGCCGGGCCGGGCCGGGCAGGGCGGCGGCGGCGGCCGTGGGCGGTGGCGCCCGGTTCCAGCGAGGCCCCGCCCTCCTCGCCGGCGCTGATTGGCCGCCCGCCCCCCCGCGCGCCCGGCCACGCCTCCTCCTCCGGGGTGGATCCGGCGTTGATTGGTCGGAGGGGGAGACGCATGCGCAGATGGCGGCATGAGGGCGGGGTGGCGGCCATGCTTGGTGCGGGCGGGGCGGGGCGGGGCGCGGTCGCCATGGGAACGCGGGGGCCGCGCTCGCCCCGCCGGCCCGGGAGGGACCCGCGGCCTTCGCGGCCCTTCCTGAGCGCGTCCCTCGCCCGGCTTGCGAAACGGGATCGCTTCCCCTTTCCCGAGGACGCCTTCCCCTTTTCTAAGAACGGCCCGGCCGCGGGGAAGCGGCGCTGCACGGCCCCGCTCCCACAGAGGGATGCGCCCGCGGCGGGAGCGGCACCGGCATCCCCATGGCAGGGAGGGAGCGGGAACGGGAGAGCGCCCAGCGCACCGGGCAGGTACCTGAGGCCTCTCCCCGCAGGGGCAGGGCAGGCAGAGCCTGGTCCCGGCATCCCGGCTCCAGCGGGAGAAGGAGCAGGAGCCGGGCAGTGAGAGTAACGGGGAGAGAAAAGGACCCGGGAGAGAAAGTGGGACCAGGGAGGGAAAAGGGACCAGGGAGGGAAAAGAGACCAGGGGGTCAAAAGGAGACAAGGGAGAGAAACAGGAACCAGGGAGTGAAAATGGACCGGGGAGAGAAAAGGGACCAGGGAGAGAAACGGGAACTAGGGAGTGAAAAGGGACCAGGGAGGTAAAAGGGACCAGGGAGGGAAAAGAGAACCAGGGAGTCAAAAGGAGACAAGGGAGAGAAACAGGAACCAGGGAGGGAAAAGGGACCAGGGGGTCAAAAGGAGACAAGAGAGGGAAAAGGGGACCAGAGAGAGAAACAGGAACCAGGGAGTGAAAAGGGACCAGGGAGAGAAATGGACCAAGGAGAGAAAAGGGACCAGGGAGAGAAAAGGGAACCCAGGGAGTAAAAAGGGACCAGGGAGAGAAAAGAGAACCAGGGGGTCAAAAGGAGACAAGGGAGAGAAACGGGAACCAGGGAGTGAAAAGGGACCGGGGAGAGAAAAGGGAATCTAAAGGGAGCCAAGGAGTGAGTTTGTCACAGCTGACACCACCAAACTTTTTTAAAAATTACAACATGGGCTTGAAAGTCAGTTGAGTTCTGTTTCTTTGCTGCCTTCAGATCCTCTTTTCATCTCCCTTCCAGGCAGAAGGACACATCCTTTTGCAAAAACCAGCTGTGACTGGTACCATGCAGCATCGGCCTCACACAGGGGCTGCGAGGGGAAACCAGGCAAAGGCAAACTGTGGGTTTGGCCACATCAGCACCCCAAACTCGGGCCTGGAGGTTGGACAGCACAGCCTCAGCCTCTGGATCCAGCCTCCTCCAGGGAGCTTTGCTTCCCCTGTGGCACCCACTTGCTGGGGAGCCAAATGGACAGCACAGCAGGAAGCAGCACTAAACACAAGGGAGCCCGGCATGGATTGGTTATAAAACTCCCTGCCTTCATTTTATTACCTTTGGTAAAGCTTGGTAAATATTTCTGGGACAGGCAACTCCTTGTCTGGCTTTAATTACCTGGGCAAATTTTCCTAAGGATTATATTGACCTCAAATATGTCAACGTTTATTGAGGCCGTGTTCCTGAGGCTTTTCCCATTAGGTGCTAATGGATTCTGGCTAATAGTCAAGCCGGATTGACCACCAGCGGGTGCCCTGGCCAGCTCCACGCTACCACAAGTACCTGGGGAGAGAACTGGGGAGGGCAACATTGGCTTTGTGAGAGCCAAGTACAAAAATCACCATGGCTCTGATCCAAAGAGATCAGGGAACACGCTTGAGTAATTGCATTCCTGACTATCTGCTTCTCTGGGCATGATTCACTCCGAGCTGGGGCTGTGAGACTTTGAGCAAAGGTTGATTTTGTTCGGGACTGTTGTGGCTGTCTCACTTGGGATTCTTGGGAGGGTTTCACTTGGGACTTTTGGGACTGATGCAGGGACCCCACACTGTGGTGCTGCTGGGGGCTCCCAGCCAAGCTTTTCTCACCTCTCCCTTGACTGTTCACCCCCAAACCAGCCTGCAGCTGGCCAGCCCTGCTCCCTCCCGAGCTGTCAGCTCCCATGGGTGCTGGACAAGGACTTTTTGCAGCCCAGCTGCCTGCACTGAGTTCAGAGGACACAGGCAGGAACTCCAGTGTGGTGTTTCTGTTCACGCTCGAGAGGGGGCCGAGGTAAAACCTCAGCCAGAGGTTTGTGGTTCTTGGCCACATGCAAAACTCCGTGCTGGTTTTCACTCTCCCACGCTTGGCAGAGAGGTGAAATTTCCCCTCTGGGATTTCCCCCCTGTCCCACTCCCCCAGCATTAGCACAGCCCTGACAGGGCAGGAAAGGGTGCTCCTGATGTGTCACCTGCAAGGGGAACCCTGAGGTGGACAAGGAGGAGGACAAGGGCTGCCTGCAGGAGTTTGCTCTCAGATTCCTGCAGGCACAGTGCCAGGGGCTCACAGGATGGCTCTCAGCCCCTACCCACCCAGCAGCACACCTGGAGAGCTCCCTACATCTTCCCAGGCTTGGGAAGAGAGGCTGGATCCGGCCATGGGATGTGCTGCCAAGTCACAGAGCTGTCCATAACATCACCCACCCAAACAGCAGCATGGATTTGTCCTTTAATCACACCCCAAAAGGGCGGTGCAGGAACGGGGTGGGTGGTGGGTGGTGGACACTCACTGCCCACAGGTTCAGGGAGAGGAGGAGAGGAGAAGCACAGGAGAAATGTCCATGCACGTGCATATCTGAGCCAACCCTCGAGTCCCCTGGGTCATGGTGCAGAGGGCAGTGCCACAGCTCTCCTGGGAACTCCCAGAGCCTGGAGCTGGGCAAAGGCTTCAGTGCAATGTCCTGAGAAATGCCTGGAGGTAGCTGGGCAGGCAAAGACACAGCTCTGTGGTCAGGTTAGGAGGAGCTGCCACTGTGGCTGATAAAAGCTCTGAGCCAGCCTCGGTGAGCAGAGACGAGTCCCTGGGAGTGTCATGCTGTGAGCCAGGCATGGAGACACGGGAGCTGCGTGTGCAGGGTCCATGCTGAGCAGTGCTGAGCCCGAGGGGCCGGACAGGAGGTGCTGTGTGGGAGAGCCCATCCAGAGCTGGGCTGTTAGAATGCCTGGCACAGCTTTGTGTGCTGCTCCTGGCGCTGGCTCTGCGGGGACACAGGTTGGAGGGGTCTTCCTGCCTGGCCCCTGTGACCAGGGGACCCCACAGGCTCCTCCTGGCAGCACCACAGGTGCCAGGGAAATGTTAGGATGGGTGGAATAGGAGGGTGGCAGCGCTCAGAGCAGTGCCAGGCAGTAACAGGAGTTACCTGTATGATCTCTATGCTGTTGGCAGCAGCCATCAGCCAGGACACAGGTCCCTTGGGTGCCACCTCAACATCACAGAGTGCAGGGGAGGCACTGCGAGAGGGCAGGGAGGGCGTGCAGGAGCCTGAGGCGGGGTCACTGTCCTCAAAGAACTGCAGCGGGGACAGCCCGATCTGGAAGAGCAGAAGAGGGATGGACACACAGCCCCTGTGGAGGACACCCATGCCACCCTGCAGCCTCACAGCTGTGCCCACCTTGCTGCAGTCAGGGCAGTGCTGCAGCCCTGTAGCCAGCACGGGGCTGCTCCAGGGACAGACACTCCACAGGCCCACCCCGAGCCATGGGGATGTCCTCTGGATCTGTTTTCCTGTCCCCCTGGCACCTCCCCTCTGCTTGCACAGGTAAATGTGTCACAGCAAGGGGAGCAGCAGGACCGGGGGCTTTGACAGCAGTGTGGCAACAACTGCTTCTCAGCTGAGCTGCAGCTCCTCGCTGTCAGCTTAATTAGCAAAATGTTTAAGGACAGGGCTCCCCAGCCAGAGCAGGACCGTGCCCCCAAAACCTACCGAGTGGTAGAACTCATCACCGGCGGGGTCGATGACCAGCAGGGTCACCTGGTCCTCCCGGGCGCGGATCCTGTGCACGGTCTGCTCGTGGTCCAGCCCCTCGATGCTCTCCCCGTTCACTGCCAGCACACGGTCCCCTTCCTTCATCCCTGCCTGCTCGGCCGGCAGCCCCACATCCACTTCCCACAGGAACTGGCCTGCCACAGCGGGGCACAGGCTCACAGAGGGGAAGTGGCTCTGCTGACCCCACTGTGCAGCATCCCCTTGCAAGCACAGAGCTTCCCAACCCTCAGAAACACCTTGCTCAGGCACAAACTGCCCCTCTCAGCCCCCTCACCTACTCCTCCCGAGCTGCAGTCATCCTCCTTGAGCAGGAAGCCATAACCAGCGGGACCCTTCACCAGGTGCAGCTCCCGGACCTTGAAGGGGAGCCTGGAGGTGTCTGCCAAGGCGGCCGTGACCCGCAGGCCCCGCAGGCGATAGAACTCCTCCACAGCACTGGATGCCACCAGCAGAGTCACCTTGTTGCCGCTCTGCTTAAGCTGCATGGCAAGCACGGGGTGCTCAGCGACGTTCTCAGCCCCATCCCTCGCCCCCCACGCCGGGAGCAGGCACCTTTCTGCTGAGCTGCGTGTGGGAGTAGCTCCTGACGCTGTCCCCGTTCAGCTCCAGCAGCCAGCAGCCTGCTGGCACCCCCGCTCTGTCCGCCGGCCCGTCCTGCAGCACCGACAGCTGGAAGGTGCCCTTGGTGCCTGCAGCAGGAGCAGAAGGGGCACTTTGGGGTGAGTGAGGTGCTACACTCACTTTGGGGTGAGTGAGGTGCTGGTGGTGGCAGCATCCTGCTTTACCTTCTGGACACGACACGCTGAAGCCAAAGCCGCTTTTGTCCCTGGTGACGTGGCAGAGGCGTGGGCGGATGTCCCCTGGCAGCATCTGTGACAGGTCCCTGCCCAGGGACTTGGCTGCTTCGTAGGAGTCACCGTCCAGCACCGCCAGCAGGACCTGGTTCCCGCTGGCCTTGATCTTCTGCACCA